TGATTTTAGCTACATTATTCACCTGAATTGTTTCAAATTTGGCATTTGAAGTTCGTAATGGATACTACAGCCTAAGCTAGAAAATTGTCTGATCAGGTCCACGTCTTCGTATAGCTCCCATATATGATATATGTGCAGGTCCACGTCTTCGTATAGCTTCCATATAAAATTACCTCCCGCTATTCGGTATTTTTATGATTTTGGATTATATATATATATATATATATATATATATATATATATATATATATATATATATATATATATATATATATATCATGGGCGGACAACTGCCCATGATCCCTGGTTCGACTAGGAGAACAGCTGGCGCCTCAAATTATCTAGTGATCGGTTATGACCCTAACACTCGGGTGTTACGTCAACCGTACTGAATTACACTGACGTCATTCATGACAGTATTCACCAGACAAAAAGGCTGAGGCTCAGTCAGGAAAGTGTTCCTTCTAGCTTTGGAATTGACTCACCACTCTCTGATGAGGAACTTGACCGCATTTACCAAGCTGTTCTCTTAATCAGGTTCTTCTAACTCTCCTACCACCTGCTATCAACAGTAGGGTAAAGGGTAGGGCTATACCTACCATTTCCACTCCGTCCGTCAGCAAGTCGGCCGTGACCAAACCGCCCCTACCAGCCCCTTCAAGCTCTAAGCCTGATAAGGTCCACAAGGGGGAGGTCAAGTCACAAACGGCAGGTCAAACAGGACGGAAGAGGAAGTACTTTCACACCATCTACCCGGACAATCTTCGGGTAGCAATCATCGACAAGTGTGAACCGGAAGGTTAAATCAGCGACAGTCGATAACTGCTACTGAGGGAGCTTGTCTTTACGGAAGAGGGTGACCCAAGAAGAATGCAGTTTGGCAGCGCAACCCTTGACAAAGGCGTGAAAGTCACCGCAGTATCTGGATTTCGCGACCTCTGGCAGGGATGTGATCTGGCGGCTGTATCCTTAAAGGACATCCCCTGTCGTAAGGTATTGACAGCCTGGGTGCCACCAACATCCGTGGATCCGGCACGCATCCTGACAATACTGGGCAAGCAGAACCCCAACTTCAGAACAGACAACTGGCGTCTCGTTAGCTCAAGCACTGAGGGAGGAGGCCTGGTCATCAAAGTATCTATAGATACTGATGGCCAGGAGTACCTTCAAGCTCGTGGGGAAAAATGCACTTCGGCGCTGGTTGGATCCGTTTCCGGCTAACGCCGTTGCATTAGGTGGAACAAAACAGCAGCTACTTAGTATCATGCAGATTAATCTGCATCATAGGGAGTGGGCAGTACGTCTCTTACGCGGTCTCCAATGGTGATAAGGTAAGGACGTGTATTGTTGCCTTAGCAACTACAGAGGAGGAGACATTACTCATTTTCATCTCTCTCTACCTACCGTACGAGCAACCTGGCCACGAAGTAGAGGAGCTGCTCAAAGATCTGGCTGACAAAGGTCATTTAATTATAGGTTGTGATGCCAACGCACACCACTTCCAATGGGGCAGCAACGATACCAATGTCAGAGGTGAGTCCATTTTTGATTTTATGTTTAAATATAATCTCAAAATATGTAATAGGGGCAACGATGCAACATTTCAAATCAAAGACAGGGCAGAGGTAATGGACCTCACCCTTACTAACAAGGATGAATCTCTTATACAAGACTGGAAAGTTTCTTCTGAGTGCTCGCTCTCAGACCACCGGAGGATAGTTTTCTAAATCTTAGTAGAGGGTATTCATCAAAAACCTCATAGAAACCCAAGAAATGCAAATTGGGACAAATTTACGGAGCTGGCTATACCTAGGCTTCGCTGTTTTGACAACATGGTCTTAACCTCAACCCTCGATATAGACAACTTCGTAAATGTGATAACGAGGGCCTTGATTGATTGCTATGAAAAAGTCTGACGCTAACCTACCCAGGCATGCCAACCAGTTTGGTGGTAAAAACATTTAGCAAGTTTAAGGAGGGACAGTAGAAGACTGTACTATAGGGCCAACAAGACCAAACTACGTACGGACTGAGATGCCTATAAGACATCCTTTAACAAGTTCAACAGTGAGATCAAGAAGGCCAAGCGCACATCTTGGGTATGCTTCACTGAGTCGATAGAAAGTGTCAACGATGCCTCCAGATTTCGTAGTCCTTTCGAAGGGTCCTAAATCCATAGGAAGTATAAAACGGACTGACGGCACATGAACTGACTCTGGACTAGAGACTCTGAACCTGCTAGCCAACACCCACTTCCCCGGCTGTATCGACATGGCAAGCAATCGACAAACCGATCAAGTGCATCGTGATCGTACGGCCAGAGACCAAAACTTGGTTGACAGAATTGTGGGCTATAGGCACATTCAAGCCTTTTAAATCCCCAGGACCAGACGGTATTATTCTCGCTATGATCCAGCGTGTCTCAGCGTCAATATCCCCAATACTGGGGGAGATTTTCAAAGCTTGCCTGTGTCTATTCTACATCCCGGAATCATGGGGAGAAGTCACAGTCACTTATAACCCCAAAGCGGGGGATACTCCGACGTCACGTCACGTTAGAATCCATTCATGACTCACTATCAAAACTTAAGGTACCCCAACTCCTCATTGACTGGATTGATACTATGCTTAGCAGCAGAATCATCAACTCGATCATTGGGGAAACATCCGTCAGGAAATCGGTCACTAGGGGCATGTCGAAAGGGGGCGTCCTATAACCATTACTCTGGCTTTTGGTTATTAATAATATACTTATATATCTAGAGGCAACAGGGACAAAAGTAATCGCATACGCTGATGATGTCGTCCTATTAATTGCCGGGAAATTCCTGCAAGCAATCTCTGACCTAATGAAAGGAGCTCTAGTGACCCTATCACGGTGGGCGCGTCCTAATGGACTAGGCGTGAACGCATCAAAGACAGAGCTTGTCCTTTTCATTAAAAAACGTAAATATCCCTCATTTACACCACTGAGACTAGATGGAGTCACTTTAAACCAAATACCTTGGCACTATGCTTGACTGCCAATTAAGTTGGAAGAGGAACACTGAGGAACGAGCTAAGAGAGGCTTGATCGCACTCTATTTCTGCAAACCACACATCATTAAATGGATGTATGAGTCAATCGTTCGCCCCATTCTATCCTGTGGATCTCTAATATGGTGGCATTCTTTTGAAGAAGTCAACCTACTCACGACATATTAACAAAGTTCAAAGAGCCGCATCCCTATTAATAACGGGTGCACGCCTCAAGCAGCACTGGATACTCTACTGTGCTTAAGTCCACTGAGTATACATGTAGAGGAACAGGCATTCAGGAGTGCTCTTCGACTCAGAGAACTAAACGAATGGCGCAGTCAACCCTTTGGACATTCTGCGATTCTGAGACGTATAAGGAATGGGGGAGTGATAACCAATACAAGTAACTATATTTCACTACGGTTGAGCTTCTACCCACCTGACATACACATACCTGACAGAGACGCCTGGGCCAATAACGACCCACCTTTCCGCAGCAGAGCTGTTTATACCGACGGTGGAGTGGAGATGGAGTGTGGTACGGGAGCTGGTGTCTTCTGTAATACCCTTAATGTTCGTGAATCCTACAAGCTTCGAAACAACTGTAGCGTATTTCAGGCGGGAATCTTTGCGGTCAAAAAGGCCACAGAACTGCTGGTCACGAGGAACACTGAGGTCAGCGGTCCGGTGACTATATATGTCGATAGTCAAGCGGCACTGAAGGCTTTAAATTCCTTTACTATCAAGTCTAGGGCTGTTTTGAACTGCAGGAAAGTCTTGGTAAACACTGGGTTGTCCATCAAGCTCTGTTGGGTTCCTGGCCTTTATAACATCCCAGGTAACGAGACTGCAGACGAATTGGCCAGGATAGGATCCGAATCAACTACAATTGAAGTAGACAACTCGGTTAAACCATAGACATTACTTTGAGAGAATCCAACAAAAATGGCTGGACGAAATGGGATGCACCATCTCCAAAAGAATCTGGCCCACACTCTCAGAGAAGAGAACTGTCATTGTCGAAACCTGATCTAAAACTTGTGGTGGGTGTCATCACAGGTCATTGTAAGGTGAGGGCTATGACCTCGAAATGGGGCTATGACCTGTAGGATCTGTCAAGATGAAGAAGAAATCGAGAAAGTCGAACACTTGCTCTGCCACTGCCCAACACTCATTAATGTGAGACACAGACTGGTGGGAGAACTAGTGTCACATGATCTGTCTTCTTTTTCTAACACTGACCCTATAGTAATCCTTCAATTAGCCAGAAGATTCAAGTGGCTAAAGACGACACGGCAAACTCCTCAGCCGTAGATCACACTCTAAAACTCTATATCTTATCTTCACCTCTTCTATCAACCTCTTCTTCTTTTCTTAACATTCTTCTAGGATGAACACAATGGACCTATAGGTCTCCGAGTGGAGCAGTTGCCATGTGGTAACCGCGCGTCCTTTAACCTAACCTAGCTGAAAAATAACGTGGATAAATTTTCAAAAATATATAAATTAGATTCCAAATTACGACAGAAATAAACAACCTGCATCAATATTGCCAATCTCCGTCAATATCTTCGACAAAGTTGTGTTCATATTTATCTGTGACCCTCATCTCATCGACTGCAAGGACACATGGCGATGTGATGTCGACGGCAATCCTTCAATCACGTAGTGCAGATTCATCTTGAAAATTTGAAACATGACAATACAGTTTACAATATGCCTAGGATAATGAGTATTGAAAATGAACTTTATCTGTTCTCCTTCAGCCTAAATATTTTGAAGGATTAGTAACAATTTCTAAATTATTTTTTGTATGGTCGTCCTCTATTCGCAGAATAATTTAATATAATTGCATATTTCATTGGCAAATATGCTACTTATGTTTCAAGTTTTACAAACCCAAACTTTAATATTAGCCAATATCCTTGTTTAGTGATCTATCTCTAAAATGTTGATTACTTTCCCCTCACAAAAAGTACAAGTTGTATAATATTTCATAAGGTAGTGTATTTTTGTACTATAAAAAATAAAACTTTTTCATGTAAACACGAAAAATAACAGTCTTATCCTAAAAACTAGATAACAAATCAAAACTTTTGGTCAGAATTCAATTTAGAAACGTCTGCCAGGTGGCAAATACGACGATTGTGGTGGTATGTAAGAGTTGGAGAGACCGGCAGATTCACCGGTAGAGCCGGAGTTCGAATGAACCTTGGAGGTAAAGTCCAAAACAGGTGCAGTGCCTCCGTTAGAGCTCTTGCTGGCACCAGGTAAAGCTTCATACTGAGCTTGAATTGTACGTTGAGCGTTATCGGCATCAGCTTGTGTGCGGTATTTGACAAAATGAACTTCGGGTTTGCTGTTGGCATTGGTGTTCAAGTTGTTCAACTTATTGGCCAAATCTCCGATATCGGCTTGTTTGTTGAGCACATAGATGGCGGTTTGGTCCTGGGCGGCAGATTTAGCCAATTGGAGGGCAGCATTTTCGAGAGCAGTGTTTTCAGGTCCCTTGATAAAAACAACACGTAGGTTCTTCTTCAAAGCACCGGCGACCTTCTCAGCAGCAGTGTTGTCAGCAAACTCACTTTCGGGAGCTGTGAAACTAAAGAATTCCTTGTCGTAAGCGTTGTTGGCGGGAGCGACACCCGACAAATCGTTTTGATTCGAGGAGGTCGAATAGTCATCCACAGTCTGTGGAGAGTAGTCATATTGAGCAGCAGCCACTCCCAACAAACATAAAACCTAAACCCAAAAATAAAGATAAAAACCTATTTCTTTTTTATCCTCTTTTTTTAGCCTGTGAATAAATACTTACCACAAAAGTACGCATTTTCACGTGTGTTTAGCAGATTAATCCGAATTGATGAAGTGTTGACTTGATTATGAGTTCCGATGAAATATGCACCAACCTTTATACTAGTTTCCCCCAATTCATGTTGACAATAGATGTCTCGTTATTGTTAGATGGTGACCCACAGGTTTCTTTTGGGTATTTCAGAGATTATGTATAATCGTGTGTTTTTGTTGTTATTAATTACATTGGAATGTCTCGTGTGTGTGTGTGTAGAGGCCCTAGAAATTCACAAAAAAAAAAAGAAAACAATAAACAGACAAACATCATAAGGGCTTTGTTTGGTGGCGGCATTTTTCATGTCGTTCCTTTTTTAGCAAATAGAGCCAATATAAATTCCAAAATAAACAACGAACAATACAATCAATCCTGACCTATCCTAACAATAATTTCACGGTATCAACTGCTGGTGTCTCTTTTCACAAAAAACCAGTATAGTGACCGGTATTTAATATGTTGTTTAGTTTTTTTTTATACAAAATATAATTAAATGCATATTTATGCTAATCATTTTCTTTTTATAAAAGCACCGATAAAAACTACTAGAAAATATTTTATTTCATTTAGTCATATTCGTAAACTTTTTAAGAGATTGATTTAAAGCTGGAGATTGTGTTTGTGATTTGTTTACAAAAAGCAAGCAATATATTATGGAAGGTAGATGCGAATAGAAATTTAGTTTGATGAAATGTTGCCTTTTTTCTTTCATTTAAAAACAATTGTTTCCCCACAAAAAAAAAAGTGTGATGCTAGCATGGAAAATACCAAGTTAGAAAAGGCTGTAGTTCGGCGGAGCTTGCCATGTGATACTCTGCACAAAAATAAAGATATTGGAATACATAGTTTGACTTCTTCATAAATCATCCCATATAAAAAAGTTCGTTCTCTAATTGTCGACTTTTAGAATTTATAAACAACTAGCTGGCCCGGTGCGCGTTTTTTAAAGCATATTAAATCACAGATCTGACTTATGCTGCTGCACATTTTTTTATAAATAATGACTACATATTAATTTATAAATATAATATATATATATAGTATATATAGTATACTTCAATGACGATTAAACAAATGTTCGGTCCCGTGCTACTTTCTAATATTCGTTTTTATACCCTCCACCATAATATGGAGGGTATATTAACTTTGTCATTCCGTTTGTAACTCCTCGAAATACTCATGTCAGACCCAACAAAGTATATATATTCTTGATCAGCGTAAAATTCTAAGTCGATTTAGCGATGTCCGTCTGTCTGTTGTAATCACGCTATCTTTCGAATGAATTGAGATAGAATCCTAGAATTTTGCACGTAAGTTTATTTTTCAAGTAAGCAGGTTAAGTTCGTAAATGGGTCATGTAGATCCACGTTTTCATATAGCCCCCATATAATGGTACCTCCCGATATTCGGTATTTTAATGATTTTAGCGACATTATTCACCTGAAATGTTTCAAATTTGGTATTTGAAGTTCAAAATTGATACTACACCTTAAGACAGAAAATTGTTTGTGCAGGTCCACGTCTTCCTATAGCCCCCCATTAAAGGTACCTTCCAATATTTGGTATTTTGATGATTTTAGAGTCATTATTCACCAGAGTTGTTTCAAATTACGTATTTTGAGTTCGTTATGCGAACTACAATCTGTGACAGAAAATTGTCTATATAGGTCCAGGTCTTCGTATAGGCCCCATATATCAGTACCTCCCTATATTCGGTATTTTGACGATTTTAAGTACAATACCCATCGAAATTGTTTGAGATGTGGTATTTGAAGTTCATAGTGTATGCTACAGCCTGTGACAGATAATTGTCAATGCAGGCGCAGGTCTTCGCACAGCTCCGATATAACGGTTCCTCCCTATATGCGATATTTTGACGATTTTAGCTACATTATTCACTGCTTATTTCAAGTTTCGAGTTTGAATATGGTAATGGCTTATGACAAACAATGCCTATGTAGGTCCACGTCGTATAGACCCCAATATACGGCTATATTTGGTATTTTTAAATTTTAACAGAATTTTTTAAGAATTTTATTTTTTGAAAATTTTTAAATTCATTCCAAAAGGTGAAGGGTATTCAAAGTTCGGCCCGGCCGAACTTACTACTTTTTAACTTTTTTTCCAGTTTGACATTTGGGAGTTTATTTCATATTCATTCATTCCGAATCTACGATCCCACCAATATTTTCTTGGGGGTTACAAATTCAATGGAATACAAAATTTTCTTTTCTGACCACACATTAGTTGGGAAAGTGGGCTTGGGTATACACTAAGGTGAGTTCTGTGCTTAAATAAATCCATATGTGGACAAATAAATACATTTTTCTTATCTAAATCAATTGATGACTGTGGTCAAGACCAAGATGGGCCCTTCTCCGAAAATTGAAAATGTTATGCAATTACCCCTTTAGAAACAAAGATGCCAAATAAGGGCCACAAAATGAAAAAAAAAATGGCCAAGACCCCGAAAGTAGTTTAAATAATGGTGATACCAAACTGTGATGATGGATGGTTGCAAGGATGGTTTCTTCGCAGATTACCAACATTTGCCGAAATTAGTATTAAAAATAAGGTTAAAATGTAAAATATACTTGAAATCGGGTTGTACCCTTATCCGAGGGATACGTCCCATATCTTAACCTGTAAAAGCGATTTCAGGTATCTTGAAATTTTTAGAGAATTGTGTGAAAAGATCAAAATCCCATTCATTTCTTACGAAATGCCCAATTCGCTCTACTATTTTGCGCCCTTTATATTCGGTATTTCACTGATTGCAATTCCAATAAATTTTGCATTTTGAGTTCTCATTGGACGGATTATTGTCATATGAAAGAAGTAGGTCCACGTTTTAAAATTAGCCCATAACGCTTTGTCGGTCAATTTTGTTTCTTAAAATTTGTTAGATGCTAAGTTGGAGTTGAAATCTAAATGCCAATTTTCCATTTAATTTTTTTTTTTCTCGATTTTCGAATTTTTGCAATGAAGTTGTCTCTTTTTCTTGATTTTTTAGCAATTTTGAAAAAGTAATTATCTTTTAACTTTGGTGTGACAGCGTTCAATTATTTCGACATTTCGGGAAAATGTGGCAAAAATCATCAAAATACCGAATATCGGGAGGTATCGCTATATAGGGCTATACAAAAGCGTGGACCTATACATACAATGTTTCGGCGCACGAACCAGGACCCATTATGACCTACAAAAATCAATTTTCAGACAAATCAGTGAAAAACTGTGGCAAAAACCAGGAGGTACCGTTATATGGGGGCTATACCAAAACATGGACCTGTACATGCAAAGTTTCACCACCAGAGCTAGAACCCATTATGACCAACAAATACCAATTTTTAGACAAATCCATGAAAAAATGTGGTAAAAATCATCAAAATACCGAATATCGGGAGGTACCGTTATATGGGGGCTATACTAAAGCGTGGACCTATACATACAATGTTTCGGCGCACGAACCAGGACCCATTATGACCTACAAAAACCAATTTTCAGACAAATCCGTAAAAAAATTTAAAAATCATCAAAATACCGAATATCGGGAGGTAACGTTATATGAGGGCTATACCAAAACGTGGACCTATACAAAGTTTCGCCACCGGAGCTGGAACCCATTATGACCTACAAATGCCAATTATTAGACAAATCCATGAAAAAATGTGGCAAAAATCATCAAAATACCGAATATCGGGAGGTAACGTTATATGGGGACTATACCAAAACGGGGACCGATGTATCTCATTTTTAATACCAACCACCCTAGACACAATACAAATTATTCTGCTAAATTTTGACGCTCTACATCAAATAATGTGACAATACAATAAAAATTTCATTGCAAATCATGTATTTTTTTACGTTATATGTCATGATATACAAGGTGAGATGAAAAAACTGCAGACTTCTGTCATTTCTAAGCCACTCGTCCGACAACTGTTAAAATTATTCCAGCAATAGCTCATTATATTGTTTACAATCGTACAAAAGCATTTTGGAGAGAACTTTCCAGAAATGAAGGTACTGGACTATTGTATCTGGAGTGTTTTGGAAAGCAAGGTTTGCACTAAAAAATACCAAAGTGTCGATCACCTTAAGCAAGCGCTTCGTCGGGAATGGGTCAAAATACCGCAGTGCAACATTCGGGCAATATGTGACGGTTTCATTGGCCGTTTGAAGGCCATAATTCGTGCCAATGGTGACCAATTCGAACAAATCTAAACTTATTCTAAAATTTGATGTCATTTCCGACATTTTTTGCTTTTGTTCAATTAAATGAAAAAAAATGAAAAAAAAAAGAAGTAAAAAAGCTGTAAGTTCGGCCGGGCCGAACTTTTAATACCCTCCACCATTTGGTACAAATGAAATTAAAAATTCTGTTAAAATCTTAAAAATACCGAATGCTTATACGACGACGTGGACCTGCATAGGCAACTTTTGTCATAAGTTATTATAATATTTAAATGCGAAACTTGAAGAAAAATCTGTTTATAATGTAGCTAAAATCATCAAAATTCCGAATATGGGGTAATTTTAGCCTTCTATCTCAATTTGTTCGAAAGATAGCGTGATTACAACAGACAGACAGACAGACGGGCATGGCTAAATCGTCTTAGAATTTTACGCTGATCAAGAATATATATACTTTGTTGGGTCTGACATGAGTATTTCGAGGAGTTACAAACGGAATGACAAAATTAATATACCCTCCATAGTATGGTGGAGGGTATAAAAATGGAAAAATTATGGAGTTTGACTTTGTTGCAGTTTTTTTATCTCACCCTGTATATGTTAACATATTTTTAACTTTTTATGTTAAAGGGATGCTTAGATCCTAACTAAGTCGGATTAATTCCAATTTATAACCACAGTTTTTCCATTGACATCTTCCAGCTCTTAGACGTTCACCGGTAATGTATACTTATGCAAATTATTTTCATTAGTTAATTTATTAAGTTTTCAGTTAATGATTGATTTAAAGATTTGTTTCTCAGACATGCAACGTTCGCATTGGGGTGTTAACACAAAACTATGTCATTCCAAAAAGCGAGAAAATATTTTCTCCAAAAGAAATAAAATTAGTTGAT